GTAGGCATTAGCCAATGCAATGTCCATGCTACTAGAAGTTCTGCATGGCTTCTTGAAATCATGCAGAGGATATTCACATTCACATATCTTGTGCTGATAGACCATATGCGGAACAAACGGAGGTGGCGAAGAGGTGGGAAATGCTAAATATAATATATATGTCGACTTGTCAGTTTGAGAACTTTGGCAAGGTACGTTCGGGCCTGGTCTAAATCTGGCTTTGGAAAATTTATTTTTCATTGCTACCAGGTTCGATCTCATTTCCTCTGTCCTGCTATGATGAGTCCACAAAGGACGAACCAGTTCTGTCCGCTGGTTGAGTATAATTTTATATACTCAATAAGACTATGCCTGCAGCTGCAGAAAAAGGGCTCAACATCGAATTTCTTGGGGGGGGGGGGGAGCAATGTCACATGTCAACAAACAATGGATCACTTGTACTGTTTAGCTACTCTGAGTTCCATGCACTGTGTGCAATCATCAGGCAAACAATATTGAATATTTTTGCCTGATGATTGCACACAGTGCATGAAACTCAGAGTAGCAAAACACTACTGAAGTACTAGTTACGAGTGATCCATTGTTTGTTGACAGGTGTATATATATTATTTAAATAGAGAGGTAGGCGAACGAAATTTATATACACACAACAACAAGGTTGTCAATTTCATAATACGAAAAGCTTTTCAACCATTTTCATCAGTAGTTACATGGGAATGAACAATAACGAAACGCAACAACAGGAACGAAGCAGCAGCTTCAGTGTCATCACACCAGCCTGGAACAGCGCGCACTGATTCACGCTGGAAGTGCTATACATTCGCAGTTTGAGGCCAGAACTGTGTCAACAAAAGAAGCACATCAAAGTGCTGCCGCTGTTCAAGTCGTAACCAGACTGACAACTTTATCACGTGTTTGTTCTGGTACTGCATTCCCTTCATGTGTTGTTTCCCGCATTTTTCCACTGCTCCATACATTCTTATGGTAATGTAGTGTGAACTTGAGGCGCTTAAGAATATTCTGGCTGATTCTCTACCCCCAGCATAATTTGTTGTTGTTTCAAATCTTTATTCTCACGATAGCCAGTGGCCAATAAGAGATAATAGTGTAAGAAAGGAGAAAGAGTGAGGAAGAATTGGGTGGGCAGGGCCTAGGGGTTAATGACTACTTAAGTGTACGGGCAGGGGTGATCGCCACACGAGCATACAGAGTTGCGTACTTAAGTGTACGGGCAGGGGTGCTCGCTACACGAGCATACAGAGTTGTGCAACAGCAGGGATATCTCGGATTTGAAGGGAGTACGAGAAGGGATTTCGCGAAGCTGAGTGGGCAGGCAATTAAAGTAATGAAGGGCCTTGTACAGGGGAGAATGGAGACAGCGGTCAGGCCGCGGAGTTGGCAAGTGCCAAGTACGAGAGCGACGTAAATTATACGAAGGTTGCACGTTGCTAGCAGTATGCAGCAAGAGTATATGTGGTGGGGCATAATTGTGGCGCAGAGAATGCGCGAAGAGTATATGTTTAACTTTAAAGCGTGAAAATAATGTTGGCCATTTGATGCGATGCAAAAGGTGGGAGTGTTCTAAGTGTGTGTAAAGGGGAAGGTGGAGACATATTCTGGCGGCTTTTTGCTGGATTCATTCTAGCCTGTCAAGGGAAGTGTGGGACAACGGTGTGAGAGCATTGCTCGCATATGAGAATATAGGTAGTATGTATGTCTGATAGATGTGAGATAAAGATACACTGGTGAGTGTTGACCTTAGTCTAAAAAGAATATTGAGTGATTTTTTGACTATGTATTCAACATGCTCCGTCCAACGGAGGTCATGCTGAAAGATTATTCCGAGGTGTTTGTGTTTTTGTGCTACGGTAAGCGGACTATTCCTGAGGGTGATCTGGGGTAGCTGTTCAGGGGGGCGGTTATTGTGGTAGAACGGGAGGATGACTGTTTTCTTTGTGTTAGCCAGCAGGTGCCATTTTTGAAGCCAGTCTCCAGCTGCTGTGACACTCTGTTGTAGGTTTCGGGTGCAGTCTTGAAGAGTTCTTGCTATGGAAATCAGAGCGGTGTCATCTACAAACTGGCTACAGGTGGTGCTGGGATTCTCGCATGCGTGTGGAAGGTCTGTGGTGTAGACGAGGAATAGAAGCGGCCCAAGAACAGATCCCTGAGGGACGCTGGCAGGGATCTCGAGGAAAGGCGAAAGTGGGAGAGTTTTGCTAGAAGGCCTGCATGCCACACACGATCGAAGGCCTTGCTTAAATTGAAAAAGCAGCCATTGACGTGTTTCCCGTCGTCTCTCGCAGTGGAGAGGGTATGGACGAGACGGGCGAGCTGCTGCTCAGTGCCGTCTTTCTCGCGGATTTCGGACTGCTGGTTGGGCAGGTGGGGTGTGATGTGGGTAAGTGCGGTGCTATGTGATTCTACAGACGAGAGTGGACTATTCTTTCTTGTGTTTTTGATATTATACTGAGCAGGGAGATGGGTCGGTAGTTGGTAGGATGAGAGGGGTTGCCCGACTTGGGGATGGGTGTAATAGTTGCAGAGACGAGCACAGAGACGAGAAAGGGGGTGAAGAACACGGGCCAGCTGTTTCAAGCCTGCTGCAAGAAACGGATCGTTGCGCAGAAATATAATTTGGGTTAGCATGTGACCGTGTTAAATTCAATGGATCCCAGTTAGTTGAGTGGTTGCCGATGAAACCTACCACAACCCCACAATTACGACCATGTGCAACATACCTCCGGAGCATAGGATCAGGATGTGAGTCCAGTAATTTTGAGAAGTGAGAAACTGAGTGCTTACACAGTTACTGATGAGGCCTTACACTTTGCCCTGGGGTGCTCCTGTCGGCACTGGAGGTAGCACTGCCGGAGCTGACACGTGCAAGCGCCGTACTCGTAGTAGCGGCATACGGTTGCGGTACGTGATGCGGATCTGTACTGGTGAGTAGGACGAAATGCGCACAGAAATGCTGGCGGGTGCACTGAGCTGCACTGCTGGCAGGCGGGTCGTGCTGTTCCAGTACGCCGCGAGGCGTAGTTGCCACAAGTTGATATTGATAACCTGGCTTTGGAGATTTATTTTATTTTCCATTGCTAGCAGGTTCGGCTTAATTCCCTCTGTGCTGCGCTGATGAGTCCACAAAGGGCGAACACTGTCCAGGTCTCAACTCAAGTGCTACTGTCATGCAGCCTACGAAGCGCAGTTCTGAGTTCGAATTCAAATAAATGCTAGTGCGCCAGAAGAGCAACATATGAGGGGCTACGGAGTTGGAACGTCGCCGGAGCTGGACTGACTGCAACTGTATCGGGCAGCAGGAAATCGAAGTCCACGAACTCGCCTCTCTGGACACGATCGAGAAGGGCCCGTATAGGACAGTCAGGTTCACCTGCTGTTGGTGCTGCATGCGCATATGGCGGTCATCACTGCAACGGGCTCCCAGTAGGATTCGGCCTGGTGGCGGCGAGCGTCGATCCGGATCCAAGTAGAGCGAGGAGAAGCTGGGTGGCGTAGGTGACGGCAGTGGACAGCTACCGTTGTTACTTCCAACAGAAAATCAAAGTCCACGAACTCGCCTCTTTGGATACGAATTACGATCGTCAGGCTCGCGCCTGCTGTTGCAGTGGTGGTGCTGCGTGGCGGCCGTCGCTGCGTTTGCAGTAGGCGGGCGGCGGAGCTAGGTAGAGCGAGGCGATCCGGAGAGGCTGGACGCCGGTTGGTGACGACGACATTGTTTCAAGGCACAAACAAGGGTCGCTGAGATCGCGTGGAGGTACTTCATTTCAGGAAACTTGATGATGGCGCAAGCTAACAGTCCACAGTCGACGTTCCACTGTAGAAAACGACATTGTTTCAGGCACCAACAGGCGTCATTGAATTCTGAATTTGAAACGTAGAGATACGAGAATGCAAGCTTGAAAGTCTAACGGAAGGAAATTGTTTTGGGAACACCTGTTTCGCAAGTTGCACGCTCGAAAGACCAAACAGCAATGACATGAAAGAGACATTGTACAGGATTTTGAAGGGCGCGTGCCCACGTGACTCGCGCATGCGTGCAGGTTGGGCCAGCTCGCTGGGCTGGCTGCTAACTCGCGTTAGCATGCTAACGCTCATTATTAGTGCTGAAACGATTACGTCTTTCCTTAGTGGCTTAGCTTATACCATAACGATCGGCTTATCGGCTTAACGATTATTATTGTAACTACATCAGTACTCGTACAATGTACATTCTGTGAATTTCAAAAAAATTAGGAGTCCAACATCGCCAAGGACGAAAAGCGGGCGCATAGATCCGATGATCCCGCAACAAGTCCGTCAGCTGTTCGAACTGACCAGACGATTACAGACAAGACAGAGGCAACTCACTGGTTGCAACCCAAGAGCTGATGGTGCCCTTCGCCTGTGACTTCGCTGACTCCGACGATGAAGTCAGAGAAGCCGGCCAGGGGTGCAGATCGGCGGATTTCGACGGATGAGCTGACTTGAGGCGCACCAACAAGTAACTAGTTGCTTTTCCTGTCTATGCTCAAAATAGGCCCAGACGCCAGGCCTAGGTCGTCGAGCAAACTGGTTCGGGAACCGTCGACAGAACGGAAAACATGAAACTGAAGACCACTTTACTGTCTTTAGCTCAGGACTACTCGCACGTGGAGGGAACTTCAGCACCTGCAGCTAGTGTAGACACATACTGAGCCTGCCAGTCCTGCATGCTGCATGTAAGAAAAGTAGTCAGCTCAAAAGAAGGCGACGGTGATCGCGTCGATGTTTCTCAAATCGCGCTTGTGTCTTTACACGTTTATCGATGTTGCAAGTGTACAGTCATGTACATATTCGTGTCGTAGATCTACTCGCAACACTTTCGGTGCATGCACGCTTTGTGCAACCCCCAAAAGGGGGGAAATCCCGTACCGAGCGTAAGTACCATTCTACTCGTTTAGCCGATAAAATCGAAATAACCGTTCGATCTATTTCTTTTCGAGTAAGTAACGAGTAATCGATAT